CATTTATATATTGAATGGAATTTTATTGAAAACTGACATGTGGCATGTGAAACTTTCCTGTGAGTACTCAGTGAGCACAGTTTAAATTTAGTAGCCAAACTAACGTACTGCCATTTTTACCAAAGACAGTTATTAATGAGATTTTAAAAAAACTTTTTAGTTCACAACTTCATTACATGAACCTATAAAATTACTCGTTCTCAGTTAAACCTTTTTCATTCCGGAAAATAGTTGTTAAATTTCCGGAATTAAAAAAGTTTAACTGAGAACGAGTAATTCTATTAATTAGGCAAAGTTTCTTTCAATGCGTTGAATTTGAATTTCCTTGTTTGTAACTTCATGCAACAAAAATGTCAGTCTCTGCTTCACGCTATGGCTGCGTCTCTGCCTTGTCATTCATATCACATTGTCTGTCATATATACGATTTGTGCTCAATGCGTCTGCAGATCTGACATACACAAGTTTTCTGAAATCTGGGGGAAATAAAGGACAAATAAATCATTCAGTTTTTGAAACCACTTTTGCCAGTAAGTAATATTTCAGACGGTCCCAATTTCAATATAGTGAAGTCTCGTATACAAAGCCTGACAGGCTAGATCGACATGTCAGAATCAAATAGACAAAAGTTACAGTGGAAGTAACAACATAATAGCTTTTACAAATGAAAAATTTAGAAAAGTATGTTATTTTCAACAGTAGCAGGCCATGATCCTGTTTTTCTTTTTCGTGCATTCATTCCAACTTTGTGTTTTCATTTTAAGAGTGAGTTGATGAAGAAAAGGTTTTATTTTATTTATTTCTTTAAATCATATGTATTTAGATCGTCGCAACCAACTATGATCAGCATTGTCTCCAGGAAATAAATAAAATTAACGTCAGCCACAACAAAACTTTTAGCTTTTTCCTACTCTAATTCTGATCTTTCTAATAATTGTTTTTAAATCCGTTCTAAGATACAGTACATCAATCATTATTATGTGCTTGCTAATGTAATGCGAATCTGATGGGAAATTATGTGCGTGGCCAAACAGAAAGACACCGTCACAATGAATAGGGTCCACAGTGTTTTATTATGAAACATGGACTGATATCATTGAATGTATGATGTTGATGAAGTTAAAGAGGAAGACTGAACTGAAGGAAGACTGAAGACTGAATATTCTGAGGGTAATAATATAGTGCAGGCTGGATGGTAACTACCTAAACCCGTGTTCAAACCTGCGGTCGTACAATTGTAGACAAGTTGTCTGGAGGAGTGAGAGAATTACTTGGAAACTGCTGGCACGGATCACAGAGAAATATTTATAAGGTTACAAATTTACCACAAATGGGAACTTCATCAACGGTCTTAAAAAAGAAATTGGACAGACATTCGAACAAGGATCAGCCGGGTAAAATTCTGGGCTTACACTTATTATGTGAGAGCACCTACATACCCAGATTTTGTTTTTGCTCGTTTTCATTTTTTTGGGGATAAAATATGACACAACTAATTCAATTTGATGAACGGATGAAAAAGCCCCACCCCCCAAAAAAAAATTGTAGACAAATTGTCTGGAGGGTTGGGAGTACTACTTGGAAATTTGCTGGCGCATGGCATGGACCACAGAGAAATATTTATAAGGTTACAAATCTACCACAAATTCATTGGACGGACATTCGAACAAGGATCGGCCGGGTAAGTTAAAGAGAGACAAACTCTGGGCTTAGGGCCTACACTTATTATGTGACAGCAGTTCCTACATACGCAGGTTTTCTATTTGCTCTTTTTTCATGTTTTTTCTCAATAAAATATGACAGAAATTAATTCTAATTGATGAATGGATGAGATAAAAACAAGGAAAACTCAACCCCATGAACGAGTAACATACTTAGCAAGCACGGGGGACGGAAATGAAAGAAAACAGTAAAGGCGCCCTCTGTAAACACCATGCAGCAACGGGCGAGAGCACACGACGCGTCGCGTCGTGCGTTGTGTCGTGTGTGTGTCGCGTTTCAGACGACGTAAAAGGCGACGCGATGCACGACATGACGTATGACGCGACGCGGGACGGCACGACGCGACCCACGAAGCGTCGTGTTTGTACAGACGTGATGGCAAGCAGAGCGCGGTGCGACCCGACGGCACGACGCAAGGGAGCCGTCGTGCCGTCGCGTCGTGTAGTTGCATCGCCTGGAGGGAGGCAAAATTGTCGTAAATAGTACACCATGTTAAACACTTTTGGGTAAAGACACATTAACACTGAATTTGACTGAAGGGCCAAGTCCTCGTTAAAGTATTTTGGGAGATGGTGGGCCTCAGCACATAAACATGACTTTTGCTTTAGTAAAGCATTTTCATTTTGGACCGACCATGGCGAAAATCTTCTGATCGGTTTAGACATCTTTCTACATGCCTGTTCATTTTGCCTTTATTCAGTCTTTACAGAGTCACAAATTTTGAGACCAAACGTTAAAACTTGATTTGTTATCCTGCATTTTAAGAAAGACTTCTGTGACAATCTACTTTCAGGTGGCTCCATTAAGTTTAGAATTCTCCATGACACCCCTGCACAGACATGGGACCCGGATGATCACTTTGACGGTTTCACCATGGAAACACCGATTACAATTAATTTCCCTAACCCCATATTAAACCTTCCTTATTTAGTAGCTACACCGTGAAGCTAAAGTGTCGCCTGATCATCCGCGGTGCCATGACTTTCCCATTGGTATATGCAATGATCTCCATAACAAGTTACTTTGCGTTCAAAGCACCTAAAGATCAATAATAACTTCAACAAACTTGAAAGTTTACAAGGCTGATAAGATCAACAGTTGCTTCAGACAAAATAAAGATTCAGATTTGCAACATCACCAGCTCTCACCCCATATTTCACAAAGTATGTTCCTCGGTATGCTTTTCCAAAATACCTTAGTGCAAAGTGGGGCGGGCTAAATATTCTCCAGAACACCTTTCATTTTCACAAACTTGCTTTTTAATACGGCAAACCTCAATTGGCCTGCTACACCCTAAAGCCAATGTTGGCACATATTAAAAGTATTCAGAGATACCGTAATGTCAGTAAAATGTCTCTGGACTGGACTTTGTGCGCAGTGTCTTGCATTTGTCGTTGAACAGGGGGGCGCAAATGTGTCGAAGCGTGTCATTACCTATGAGCCTTTTATATGTATTTCTATTTCTTCAATGCTCCTTTGGTCTACGATTCATTGGGCCACTTCCCGCGCAAAGTGAGTTCCCTCTAGTCTGAACATCGTGCAGATCTGGAGATTGTGAGGTAATGGGAGAGGATACATGTTCCTCTCTCCATTACAAAAAGTTTGACGTTAAAATTCGTTTTATATTACTGAAAAAGAAAGAAGGCAGAAGTTGGTGTTTTGCACTGTAATAAAAGCGCCTATATTTTAAACACTTTCTGAATCGACTTTTAAAACACATTTCGCTCCTGACATGTTTATACTTTTACACCGACATCCAGTTAGGAATGTGTTTGAATGCTACAAGCGGATTGCATAAAAGCTAAGAGTATACCGCTGAAATTAAGCGTAGGCCCTATATAGCATTCAAAAAGAGTGGGTATAAAAAGAGATTAAACTCCAGACACTGTTTGACAGTGTACTGCTCTCTATTTCTTCAATAACTCCCTTCAAAATGACTATACGTTCAACTGGGCCTCTTCCTGCGCGCTGCAGTTGGGCTCCTATATTTGAGCACAAAAAATCTAAGAATTATCTAGATCTGGAGGTTGTGGTGTCATCAGAAGGGTACATGTTCCTGCTTCCATTGCACATAGGACATGTCCGTATTTTTTGTTATTTCTACATGAACTATTCAAGAAATAAGGCACGTAATTACACTGCTTCTGTTTCTTCAGCCAGCCAGCTTATAAAGATTGGTATACACTATAATGTGAGAAAAATTACACTGGACTGAACGTTTGCACGCAGTGTTCTTCTTTCGCTGTTGAAAAGAGGGACGTTGTTTTCAGCTCTGATCGCTCCTATCCTAATACGCCGGGTAAAACGGGGCACCCAACAGACTTCAGCCTGTCGAACTTGGTCGTGCACAGCTGAAATATTCCCCAAAGAAGGCAAGAGTTGGTGTCATACTGCTTCCTATTTCTTCAATCATGCTACTTTTGTGTATACTTCACTGGGCCACTTCCTGCGTGAAGTCCCTATATTTAAGCATAAAATCATAAGCATCATTTAATGTCACATTTCTTCCTATTTCTTTAATGATCCCTTTGTCTACGCTTCATGGGCCTCTTTCCACTTCCTACTGAACTTTCCAAGAATTAAGATCTTACACAATAATGTAATTACTAACTTACTATCCATTGATATCGACGTCTCCAGCTAACTCCACCCATTTAGCGGGTGCATGCCGCGCAAAGCGCGCGCCTCTAGTACAGTGTACTGTACATGTACAGGTACATGTAAAAGGCGACGTTAAGACGTCTGGCGAATACGTACGGGACGGGAACCAGTCTAAAAGCGGACCGGCGCGTGACCATTTTTTGTTACGTCCCAACTATAGCATAAGTCCCAACTATAGTTGGGACAGTCCCAAGTAGAGTGGTGCTTGAGTTGTGCTAGTCTTGGCCAGAGACGTCAGTGATTGATAGTTGTTTTATTTCTGTTGAAGAGCGCCCTCGCACAACTAGTTTTTGCTTACTTTCAAACTCTAATTATGAGTCGTTGAAGGCGCACTATGCACAGTCTATCGAGCACTAACCTCTTGAAACCAAGACTACGGTTGGGCTGGCCCAACTCTTGTTGACCAATCTCTGTGGGAAATGTCTCAACTTTATCCACTTGACACAATTGATCTAAAATGTGGCACTTCATCTGTTCATCTAGCCCTATGACCGATCACATGACATTTGTAAACAATATGACTTTGGCACATGCCGGGCACGTCATGCACACAGGACCTCTCTGCCGTAGTTGGGTCGGCCCAACTGAAGCACTCTAGTTGGGACTGATGCGATAGTTGGGGCGTAACATTTGTACTCGTTTCACAGATGCAATAAATTGATGCGCGATGAGAAATATTGTGCGGCCGACCGCGGTTGAAGGCAAGTTCAGGTCTGAATTGATCCTACCGTCGTTGATTTCATTTATCAGCGATGAATTTCCCTACGTTTGCAATTGTTCCAGCGGGTGGTTGTGGACAGAGGGCAGGTGTAGATATTCCTAAGCAGTATTGCGACGTGTTAGGCCGACCTCTAATTGTTTACACTCTTGAAGTTTTCCAAAGGTAGGCTACGGCCTAGGCCTAAAACCTAACGTTACTCTCAGAATTGTGAGGCACTCTGGTGTGCCTCACAGTTCCAAATTTTCCTTGCTTTGTAACGCTATGGGGTTCTGAATGTGCCTCTTTATTCTGTCATGTCTGTCTAAAACTGCACCTTTTCTAGCCCCACTACTCACTAGTCAGCTAGTGAGTGTGTAGCCGGCAGTAGTGTGGCACGGATCACTCCCTGTTTATCCTTAGCCACACATCCGTCTACGCAATTTCGTGTCGGCCTATTGAACATTCCGGCGCACCCACTTATCGTGGGTGCAATTTCTATTGCACACGAACATGATTCTTGACCTTTCCGCTTTCTAAAAAACCATTTATTGAATGATTTCACTCCCGTTATTCAGGTATTTTCTAGTCTTTTTGCCTTTATCCATTCAATCTAACGGGCACGCTCTCTCAGTCGCCATCTTTAAAATAAGGTCGTTGAGCATTACGTCACTTGACCCCTCATTGTCTCGACGGCTGTTCCATGTCAAGACATATGTAATACACGGACTGAGCGATAAGATACTACATGTACCAATGGGTTCTTCCAAAAGTTTGGCAGCAGTTTAGTTATCTTGTCATGGAATAGCCGTCGAGACGATGAGGAGTCAAGTGATGTGATGCTCAACGACCTTATTTTAAAAGATGGCGACTGAGAGAGTGAGCCTGTTAGATTGAAAGGGTAAAGGCAAAAAGACTGGAAAATACCTGAATAATGTGAGTGAAATCATTCACGTCGCGATTGAAGAAAACAGCAAGACTGTGCACGCACTTATCCACATGACGATATTGTTAAACCTGCTTGGTAGAGTGTCTTCGACTGGTTACTGGAAAGTTTCACTAGAGAGCCAATCTCTTATTGGTCGAGAAGAGTATTGAGCTTTGAAGCTTTTTGTGGTAAAGGTAGCAGTGTACATGTTGTAGAGATTTGCGGTAGCACCCTGCAAGGATGTGGTTTTGAACCCTCCAGTTCTTTTCAGAACCACACATACTCATAGAAGAGATATCCTTGCGTGGTGCTACCGCAAACCTCTATAACTAATGGAATAAGACTATTGAAGAGAAAAGGCAAAGCTCATACACTCTGCTGTGTTTGTGTGTGTCAAGTTGACCATGCATTTATGTTGATGGACATACAGCAAGAAAGAAAGTCACATTTTTTACCGGATTAACTCTTGCAAATGTAACCCCAAATAGGATCACGACAGTCAAGGGACATTGCCTCAGTAACACTCTTTTTCCGGGTCGACCTTTATTAATAAAAACAGGGAGGTCCTGCATTAACATTCCCCAGTAATATTTTGTACTTTTGCGTTTGATTTGATGTTCCTTTGGCACTATTGGACTTACTATTGAGCTTACAACTTCAGAGCAAGTTAATTAAAAAAAAAAAGAGACAAAGCCTGTGACGGAGACGAAGTTGGGTAGGCCTACATGTACATGTATTCAAGACGGCCTTAAAAAAAATTCTTACCATAAAATCTTAAATGATAAATCTTAGGCTGGTTCTGCACCAACACAGTTGTTGTGACTTCATATTCACAAGATAGGAATCAGACCATTTTACATTGTCCAACTTATATCCCTTAAAAAAATCCTCCTGAGCTACAAATCAGGAAAAGAAAATCTTACACTCTATTATTAAATGTTGAAGTCAGTTTAAAATGACAAAAGAGGAGTATTCTTGATTATCGGGATGGAAAAAAATGATAGCTGGGAATTGAATGCAGCTCTTAACATTTCATGTAAGCGCTTACAGATTTATGGGGTCATGCTATAGAGGATTTTCAGTCACATGATTTTGATGGTCAGCGTTCAGTTGACACAGATATGCGCGGAAACGCAAATGCCTTTGAAGTCTGCCGTATGTGAAATTGCCAATATACATACATGTAGAAAATACCCAGATTCGAAAATGTATGTGCCTCCACGGATATGGTACACTTCCTGATATACCATTTTGTCAATTGTATTACCTGAAATAGCCCCTGTATTAAATGAAAGGCAAGAAGCCTTTTCCTTTGCTGATTGGCGATAAATTGTTTTTAAAAAAATGTGAGTAAATATGTTTTGAGTTCATTTAATGGCAAGTTAGATCACAGAAGGGGGCATTTGGCCAAGTGGTTACGGTCTGTGGCTTGCAACCATAGGGTTGGAGGCTTGAATCTAGCTGCTGGCAGTATGGTGTGGCCCTTGACAAGTCACTTCATACCTACTTGCCTCTCTCCACCCAGGAGTATGGGTACCGGCATTAGCTAGGGAAGCAACCTGCAATGGACTGGCATCCCATCCAGGGGGACAGAAATATTCTCATTCTTTTCATGCCAAGAAAACCAGAGATAAACACCAGCCTAATGAGCCAAATTGGCTCGGACCAGACTTGCTTTAGATCACAGATGAATCAATGAAAAGAACCAGTCACAAGATGCTGCACATGCAACTTACCATAGGCCGGCCAGCTTTGCCTGGCACACTTCAGTCTTTTCACACTGGGATCACTCATATACTGTGCACTGCATAAACCAAACCAACCTGTAACGGCAACAAATCATGGCTTTCAAGCTAGCCTGACTGCAACCAGGGACTCAGTTGTAGCCTGCTCGCAAGCAGTCCACTCACTCTGTGGTGGCCATGTGACCACAGAAGGAAAGGTCATGTGACTCCACATAATAAGAAAGCTCAATTGAAAAGATGCCCCAACTTTGCACTGGTCGTCATGCTGTTGTATACAATGATAGACCAAATGACATGAAAATTTTGCTCCCCGAAGATACAGTGTTGAAGTGGTTTATTGTTTGTTTATCAATAGAAAAGAAACCCTAAGTAACAACAACATAAAATCTTAGAAAAAAGATACTTCTTGAGCAAAACTACACATCATTAGAATTTACAAAGTGAATAAAAATAACTGCAACTAGACAAATGTGGTTGTGCTGCTTCGGATTCAGAGCCTTTTTTAAACATCATTTGTAGATTTTGTGAGCTATTAAATTCCGAGAAGAATGAATCTTTTAAATCTGTGTCATCTTGACGTTTTTCAGGTGACTTGCCACTTGACGACATCAACAACACTTCATGTGAAATATGGTGTATAATGCATGTACATGTACATGCACTTCGTCTTCTAGCTGCTTGCAAAATTCACTTTTAATCAGGTGTGTACTCTCGAGATAGGGTACATTGAAAGGTGTACCTGTAACGTCACGTGAGTTGTCAATTGGTGACATCATCACATGATATAAATGTTCACCTATATCCCTCCCCTTTTTAGCTATCTGCAAAATTGGAACACAGTTGATCCTGTAAAGTTCAGAAGATGCAGTGCTTTGAAGGTGCACGTTACCTAAATTCAAAGTCAAATTTTAAAACAACCTTTATTTCCATACTTTCATTAAAATACGAATCAAGAATACACGTAAAATAAATAAATACGAGCCATGAATACAATGTAATATAATAAGAGAAAATAGAGAAAACTTGAAAAGATAGAAAAAAAAGTATGGAGCTGTTCATATAAGCGGGGGCTTGTAGAGAACAGCCTGTAGACAAGACAATTGGACTAGGGACAAAAACACTGAAACAGACAAGAGAACACGCGACAAACAGTGAAGACTAGACTGGACATCCAAAACAGAAGTAAAGAGTTGAAAGGGGTAAAAATGAGCAGTAACAGGAATAGATACAGAAGTAAAGGTGAGATAAAGAATAAAGTAAAGGAAGACATTGTCTAAGGATGGGAAGCTTTGTAACATTGTGAGAGGAGAGCTCTTTGGTAGGAGGACTTGAAGCAGCTAACGGATGGCATTGTTCTGATTACCCTATCAGTGGTGTTCCACAGACCATAGAAGCAAAGAGTAGAACTTGAGTACAGGGTGTGGGTGAATGAAACATACAAAGTGTGACGGGATCTGGTGGAATAACCATGCGTATCATGGATTAAAGAAAAGAAAGAAGAGAAGCTGGTGGGCGGAAGATTCTGTGTGAATTTGTACATAAAGATACCGGTACCAGTGAGATATTTATTTAAGTCGTGAATAGTAAGAGTATGTAACCTTGCAAATTGAGGTGCAGAGTGCTCCTGATGGTGTGATAGAGTGCAGATAAAGATAGCTCGCTTTTGAGTGATGTACAGTGATTTATAGAGAATATAGCTTTGTGTTAGATGTATGCGACCAGACAATATTGCAATAATTTAAGTAAAGTAAGACACGGGAATTATAAAGAAGAACTAAGCATTTGGGAAGTAGAAAGAGACGAAGTTTAGACAATACGCCTGTGTTGCGAGAAACAATATTAGTAATAGAAAAGATGTGCTCTGCCCAAGTGAGTTTATGGTCGACAAAGACACCTAAGAATTTCGCCAAATCAACCCTTGTGATGGGAATACCGTCGATCTTTACCATAGGTAAGTCAGTGTTTTGGGAACAAGCAGCCTTGCTGAAGAAGATGAAGCCTATCACCTGAAGTCGTAATCGTCCATGATACCAATTTTGTACTGTAACACTTCCCTTTTTATCAATGGCAAGTGCAAAGTGTCAACCAAATTGGAAATGTATTTCATGAGATATAGGGTGTTAAAAGATGTGATGCACCTAATAATGTCACATGACTTGTCAACTGATGACATTATCATCACATCAGTTCAACTGTCATTTTTGGAGGGCCTTGAAAAACGATTTTTTTTTTTTCCGAAGAAGTACATATACATTGTAAAGAATGCCAAAGAAAGAAAGTGAAAAAATCACGAATTAGGTTGTGACATCATCATGATATCACTTTTTTTTCAAATGTAACATAACCCTGTTTTCATTCATACCATAGAGCTACCCGGTATACGTGTAGCTCTACACTCCATACAATTCTAAGCTTTGTTAGACTTGATATTGAGAGGTTGGGCTGTAAAGAATTCAACTATGCATGTCATGTGATCTTAACTGATCTTAAATAAATTGTTCGGTGAGAAATTTATAAGAAAAGATTTGTTCAGATCAGAACAGTACTCTCTACGGACCACTTATTGTACCCTCAAGGTAAGATTTTGACATGCAGGTAAATGCTAGGCTGATCAGAGGTTCAAATGTTGACCTTCAGCTCAGTTATTTCAATGTACCAAGGAAGTTTATGTTCAGCTAGGCAAGGCATTGTGCACAGGAAAATTATCAGAAGGTTACACAGAGGGAGCCAGGATTATGTTGACTCTACATTCATGCTGAAGTCAAACAAAACAGGATTAAATTCACAAACAGACTTCAAAGTAGAGCATACATGTGTTTTTAGCAATTATTAGCATTGAAAATACTCAAGATAACATGTACCTGTTGAACACAATGGTACAAATGCTTATAAAGTCATGTAGTCTTTTACCAAGGTCAAGGTTTCTCTACATTCAATTTTTTTTGTAATGATATTAATAAAAATGTGAATACTGGCTTCCCTAAATCAAATTGTGAAACTTTCAACTGTGACAACTGCCCTTTTTACCCCAGCTTGTGAGTGGCATCTTCCAGGTCATCTCTGCTTGGCTGATGTCCAATCAAGAAGAGAGACTATCAGTTACAATCTGCTTCTACTGGGTATTAATGCATGTATTGGCTTCAAAAATAATAAATAAACCATGTTGTCAATAACTGTAGACTTTACCGCAGTACTTTCAAGTTACGATGAATTATGGGTTGATTTATTGAGTTGCTTAATAAGTTGCATTGAGCAGCATATCGCAGAAAGGTTTTTCCTTGGATTGTTTCTGAACATTGGGAAAATGTCTCAGCAGATTTATGAGAAGTTTTTCTGAAGTAATTCATGCAAATGTAATAACACTGAAAAGAATATAAAGTAAATATAGGGCCATGCGACTCAATGTAATCTGTCAATCTGTACAATCACTCGATCTTTACCTGATCAGTTTATCTCATTGCATGATATGCCCATAATTCTGTCATCAGCAAATGCCCATTTTTAAATAGATTACGGTTTTGGAAGACTGATTGCACCAGCAAGGAAGTTAAGATTGAAGTTTCATACAGGCTCAACTCACAAAACAATCTGATTGCGTATTCATGCAGATTGTGCAACACACCTAATTACATGTAAAATATTCACCCCTATTGAGGGTAGACAATTTAGAGTAAAAATTAATGTTATTATTATTATTGAAATTAATTATGACAACTGCCATATCAACAACATGGACATCTTAATGAACATCACACCTGAGTCTTTTCTTAAATGTGTTCATAGGCATACATGTCATCTATAATCACAGTATGACCCGCATGCATGTCAGTTCTGCCTCAGAGTGTGAACAAATGTAAACATGATACATGCATATGGTGAAGCTTACATGTCATGAGTTGAATTTGTACAGGATTATCAAGTTGATCTATGAGCTGGCATCACCACATTACATGTCCAGTTTGTATAGGTAATCGCTAAAAGCTGCATCTCCCCTTTTACAGGATTAAAACAATGACAAATTCAGGCTGAAAAGACACCTACTAAAACAGCACACCATATTATATTCATACAGAGGCGTTACTCTCACTTACCAGAGCAAGTCAGAGACATTTGTTTGGGCTACCTTTTAAGTCTGTTGTCATGGATATGGACGCATACTACTTGACCACACACGATAAATTAGAAGGCCAGCATCACATCGAAGCTAAGCCTAGAAAACATTTTGGCATAGGCTGCTGATATATGAATCACGTTGTTAACATACACATTTTGGCATGGGCTGCTGATATATGAATCACATTGTGAACATACACATTTGGGAAAAGTCGCTTAATCATGCCCAAATGATTCCCACAGTCACTAGGACTAGTCCTTGTTTTATGCTTGGACTGCAGATGCTGGAACTAACACAAACTGTGCGACACAGGGCATTTTCCTAACTTGTGCCCTGGTAGAGGCCGCAAGTATGTACATGTGTAGTGTGCGCCAAATTGAGGGCAAAGGTCACCGTGTACACAAATTATAATATATCAAACGATCATACTTGTAAATAGTGCTCTTAAATGCAAGTACATGTAGTACTAATCTGCACATATATTTGAAATTGGTGAATTGAAATTTACAGTTTTCAGCAGAATTTGAAAGTAATTGGACTTGATTAAGTTCCAGATATTGACAGGAAGTAGCAGTATGCTTGCAAATTGGTACACATATAAATCATGAAAAACTAATAACAGATCAATGAATAAGGTCATGATGACATCACTTTAGAAATGCAATCAGGGATTGACTATTAACGTACTGAGTGACTTTCATAACGATCAGACATTGCCTATATGTAGAATTAAAACTCTACTTTATGGTGACGTCATCATGACGTCACATGATTTTCCAACAAATGGATATCTAATAGACCTGGAGATCTAGCAAAAAGAATTTTGAAAAAGTTGTTTTGTTCAGGAGATATGTCGAAAAGAATGTCAAAATGAGAAAAATTTAAAAATCGTCAAAAATCAGGTGGGGACTTCATCATGACGTAACTCAAATTTTCACAACACATTTGGATTTGTTTGTGTGCAAAATTTCAACCCACTGGGACAAATGGTCCAAAGATACAAGCCTGAAAAGAATTCAACTTTGTGGGTTTGTCAAGTGACAAGTAATGATGTCATCATGACGAATATCTTCTTGGGCCATCCTTGGGTGGTGGTCTAAGTATATGTCAAGTTTGAGGGCAATTACTCATACTAAAGTGCTATGGTGGAAGGATTACTGAATCGAAAAACACCAAAAAACCAGGTATTGTTAAAAACTGGATTTTTTCTTAATCACGATGTCAATATTCCCTGGGATATTCCTTTTTTTATCAGGGTCAGTGACCTAAAAGCCTGTCTCTCTTAATCCTATTAACACCAACTAGTGTATGTTGGAGAGGTTCTTTATGCCGAAAAATCTGGTCTTCTGACGCTGGTCATCTTTTGACTTTGAATCACCCTAACCCCTATCCTCCCACCATGTGCATTGATGTGTATAAAGGGGTATTGCACAATCATGCATTTTTCACTCTCTCAATCCCAACGTATTCTCAAAAAACCACTGCAGACCGCCTGTGACATTGTTTATTGTAAGAATTGTAGAAAAAATGAGGCATTTTGAGGGTATTCTGTTCCTGTCTATTGAAAAGTGTCCTCTACTTCACCATCGCGAACCAGAGAATGAAAACAATAGCTACGTCAGCAGTGTAGCTGAAGCAGCTAAAAACGTACCATCACAGAGCGAGTTGATTTTGATTGTGTATGTCATGTGAAGGCTTGGTATGACTCCTTGACTTGGGAAGTTTCGTTAGCTTTAAATTTGGAGAACTCAAATTTAAGCCATTCCCCAAGGTTCAAGTTTTACTGCATTTTATTTCACACTTAGAAACTTAGAAATAAAAATTTTCAGTTGCAAAGTACTAAAAGTCAAAAGTAGTCCTGTGCAGTTCTAGTTCCTGAACCCAGGCAGTGAGCGTGCCAATGCAGCGCTCAATCCAGCAACTTGGAAGTAAAGTGGATGATATATCAGAGTGAATATTCTTAACTACCATGTTTTGTTATCATTTTAAAAATAATTACGAGTACCCACCCATCACAGGAATTGGGTTTCTGGTTCTGGTTCTACCTGGTAAATGCACACCACTGTTCAATACCACTCACTAAACTGCACTAAATCAGCAGTCAATTCTGCTGTGACGCCAAACAGCCATCAGTATTTCAATGATTGTTAAATCTGCCAACACTAAGAATCTGTCAGAAATCTGAACACCCATTTAACCAGCCCATAAAAAACAAGCAGCCACTTGAGAGATTTACACTTGCACTGTACATGTACGTGTACACATATGCATATATGTAATAGCTGCCATTTTGACATAGCAAATCTGTAGTTCCCTCATTTTCTGCAAATAGCGCCCTGCCCTCTTTTTTAGTTTTATTGTTTTCAAGGTTTTTAATTGGAATGTTCCAAGTTTTTTCAGTCTGAAATTTACAAATTGGAACAGTTCCAGTTAAATCAGAATTGCTGGCAGGAATGTTGTTACCCATTACCAAAGGTACCTTCACAGAGCTCCCTCAAATTTAGACATAATGGAGTCAGGGTTGTGATTGCATTCCCATACGATTTGATCAGTCAGAGCTCCCACTGCTTTTTAGGTAAAGGAGTCCAAATCACTGGCTTCTTTGAAAACTGTTCCCCCTAACCTGTACTGAACTCCTTTCTTTGTTAAAATTCCCCTAATGTACACAGGTACCCACTTTTAAAGTGGATGTTTATGATACTTGAAAAGCTGTGATTGTCCAATTTAACAAGGTTCTTTCCCAACAGTTATTGCTCTTGGACAACACTGAGGTGAACAGTACCACATGATTTTTCTCATTATTCCTGTTTCTAGACTCGTTTGGGTTGAGAAAATCTTTGTCGCCATCTCACCAGATTGGGAAGCCCATGCGAGGGAACTAGTCCTGTCTTATCATCTCAGCAAAGTTGAGCTCATAAATGGTGGATCCAGCCGCCACCACTCCATCCAGAACTGTGTTCAGCATCTGCAGAATCACCTACTGAAGAGAAGAGAAGGGGCGGAGCTCGGAAAGCAAAATGGCAAAGTGTTAGCTGAGGAAGAACCAATTGTCATTATCCAGGATGCCGTCAGGCCATTTGCAGATGAGAACATCTTGAGGAAGGTGACTTTAGCTGCTAAGGAGCACAGGGTAAGATTTTCAAAAGAATTCTTACGTTAGGTTTTTGAAAGGTACAGTCCATCAATATCAGTTATCAGGAAGTAATTGTAAGCAACAAAATTATTGTTGAAAGTATACTTAGTTCACGGATAGTTATGGGACTGAACTCCTCTTTCTGGCAAGCTCTCAATTTCAAGAAAACTATGAAGGACATTTCCAATGACGTGTGTATAGAAACAGTTTTGGAAACTTGCCACAAGAAGCGTGCAAGTATCGACATGACACTCATGCACGGTTACTAATTCATAGGCTCATTGCATGACATCATGCCGCTGCATTCAACTGAATGTGAGATCCTGTCCCAGATGCTGAATTCAAGCCTATTTCAAAACATGACTCAGCGCATTTGGATCTGAAATCAAAATCCTTGAATATTGCTTTTCTTGGAATATACGATATTCACTGTGCTGAAACTTCATCAGGTTTGTTCTTGAGGCACACTTCTTAAGATTTTAAGCAATTTGTTGCCTCAAAGGAAAATAATACACAAACAACAAGTGACGGACTGTACCTTTGAAGTACGTGCATCATCTCCTCACTTACTTGACATCTGTACAGACACTGATGGATGATCACTTTTCTTATCAGGAAAACATACCCAGTCCTACCCAGTGATGTAGCCAACTGTGCCTCGGTTAATTGTGCCATCAAAAGAGCTCCCCCTTCCCAGTTGCCTCCCTTCCCAATTACAAATTTGAAGAAAGAATGAAAATAACAAAATTGTAAAGAAATTTGATGTCTCCCACAAGAGCACACGTACCATCCAACTATCCTACTTGCTATCCAAAGGACAGACTTCTTGCTACACTGTATGCCAGTAGTCCTTCAAGCCCTGAGCTAGACACACCCACAAAAAGCTTTGAATGCCTTATGCAAGCCACTATCCATTGATTTGTCATTTTATCTCAATGCTTTATAATTTATAGCCATTTTCTGATCAGTGAATACTTATATAGAACCCCATTCACAACAGCCCATCATTTTTGGAAATGAAATCATTCAATGATCTAATATGGCAACTCTGTTTACATTTGGCTCTGCTGAGCCAATGATGACTGAGGTGTACAGTGCCTAATCTTTTCAAAATACTGCAAAACCAGGTTTCTAGTTTGAGGCAGATTGTCTGATTCAAATGTTTTTTGCAGATAAAATTGCCAGGACTCGTCCAAAAAATGCATTTTCTTCCAACCCTCACAGCCCAGAGTACAGCGCTCTAAATAGCACCTAAGTCAGTTGCAAATGGGACCAAATTTTTGCAAATGTGATCATATTTTCACCATACAGTCGCCATTTGCGACTTAAGATACATGTAGCTTAAAACTACATACAAAAAGTACTTGAACAATTTTGAGTATGCTTAAAAATCGAAAAGTAATGATTACATGTATGTACTCAAATTCGTTCTGGAAAGGTAGAAATGGCAACACAAGTCGCATTGTGGATTACAAGCTTACCATGTGCGCTGTACATGTACGTAAATGATACTGTACATATGCCATGATCACACGCACGTGTTGGCTGGTTCCCGATCTAAACATACGTTGTTGATGCACTGTATATGGACACCAGGGCCATTGTACAAACAATGGCTTGGGCTCCATTTTTGCTGCTTTTTTGCTGCAACGTAAATGAAGCCTAAAACGGAGCTCATATACAGGAATTAAAGGGTGTTGCTGTGATTTAGAGTGTTGGAAATAGCACGGTTTATACAGCAGGATGTCCTGCGCTGCAACTACCGACGTTATAATGTCTGTGGCTGAACCTCGTGGAGAGAACCCTGATTTCGTGGATTGACCTCATTAGCGCTCGTGTACATGAACATGTGCATGTTGTGTGGTGTACATGTACATGTGCATGTTGTGTGGTGTACATGTACATGTGCATGTTGTGTGGTGTACATGTGCATGTTGTGTGGTGTACATGTACATGTGCATGTTGTGTGGTGTACATGTACATGTGCATGTCGTGTGGTGTACATGAACATGTGCATGTTGTGTGGTGTACATGTGCTGGGCCAGGTCATGATTCTACGTCGTGGATGGACGATGTACATGTACATGTAAACACAGGGTATTTTGTGTGTTTGTACGTTCATGAATATTCAGCACACGTGATTACTAAACTTCTGTAAGTGCTGATGCCTAGATTTTTCCCCATTAGGAGCCAATGGCAGCCAAATATTTTAGTAGATTTTTCTGTTTAAAGGGTTGCCAGAGTACTCAACTTGCAGTAGGGGAACATGGTCCATTTATTGTACTAAACATTTCTGATATTCATGAATCTATCTGTAAAAATCTACTCATTTTTTGGTTTTTGCTTTTTGTTTTTTGCTTTTGCTTCTGGCAGGCTTCAGGATCTGTTCTCCCATTAGTCTCAACCATACTTGAGAGTGATTCCCAAGATGTTCTTGTCCAATCACTGGTCAGGTCAAAGTTGAGAGAGAGCCACACCCCTCAGGCATTCTGGTGGTCAACTCTCCGTGAGGCCTATCAAAAGGTGAGAAATGACGCTGGACTTTCTTTCCTGACAGTGTCTGTTTGAACATAATGATTCAGAAAATTTTCTGCCAGAGAAATCAATTTCTATCCTTGATCATGAGTCACTCAAGAAATGCAAGATCCAAAAGTGATACAATTTTGTGTCCCTGTAACTTGTAATATTTGACAGTGAAATATCGCCGAAATTTGACTTCAAACTACATGTATTCTTATTTGTTTGGCAGGTAATTTGCATTGCTTAATTTTGAAATTAAATGTGTTCAGAAGTTACAAATTATTTGGCAGACGTGGCAGGGACACACAAAAATTGGACCCCAAATTTACTAAATAACCTTTTTGATAAGTTTAAGTGATTCTGTGGGACTTGAAGCACTTTAGCTCATCTTGCATATCTTGCAGCGCCCAACACAGACTGCTTGTAATGAGGGCATGGAAGGATTTTGAAAATGAAAGGTTTTTCTTTGGAAATTTGGGGTTTTTATGTGAGTTTTCACCCTGGTTTCTTGGGCAATCTTGCAAGGAGCATTCCTAAATCCTCCAAAATTGTCTAGGAGCAGGCATCCTATGGCATGTTGTTTGTTCTTTAACATTTACAGGGTAGCCCTACATGAAGTAATGTGACTGGGTGCTGCCATAATTGGTCTCAGAAAATTGTCCAAACCTGTTCATTGTTGAAAGATTTAGGAGTTTTACAATTAGTAGCTCAGTGATCAGAGGTAATAATGCTGTGATCTGAAAAAACGCCCAGAATATTAATTGTTACCCTCTTTAAAATTTAATTTTTTTTCCATTTAGATAACAGATTATGACCTAATCCATGGAACAGAGGTCTTGGATCTGGCCTTAAAGTATACTGGCTGTAGGGCTAAATTAGTTGAGGCGCCTGACTATGTTTGGAAGGTAAATCAATAAAGTTTGTGAAAGAGGAGTAGTCAGTGGTTGCATTAATTCAACAAAGTGTTTGCTAAGTATTGCTTTATCTCATAAGCTTTCTACTGTAGAGCATCTGAAATTTAAGTAGTACAAATATTCTACAGACTCATTTCACATGTGATCCTGTTCTATTATTTGTACTTTAGTAAAGGAGAGAAAAATTTATTTTCTTTAAAGTAATTTTTGTTTTTTTGGAAATAACACGTCTAGGTCACCTACAAGAAAGACTTCCTAGCAGCTGAGACTCTTGCCAAAGGTAGGTAAAACACGTCTAGAAGTATGTGACACATCAGAATGTTTCGACCCCAACCAAAACTTTTCCCTGCCAAAATAACAGTGGAGGATAACCTTGTTCACCCAGAAAAGTTTAATGTTCATTCAGTTGTTGCTATCATTTGATAATTGCTTGAAACTCTTTGACAGAGAAC